TTCATGTGTCGCGGATAGGTTAACTACAGATGGCAGTTTGTCCGCCGTTGCTGACGACGTCCACCATGGTAAGCGTTTAGAGTGATGGTAGACTTACGCAGCACCTGCCACGCTGTCTCCTCCCTCACGCACCTGGGCTTGGTGGCAGGACGACGTCCGGACGACTGGATGTGGGCTCGAGCTTAGTGGTCGACAAAGCTAAGCAACCCGTCTACACGTGCCATACACGGCCTGGTCACCACAAAATGGGTCAGGCTTCACAAAAACCGGGGGCTACCCTTGCGGTCTGACTCTCCGTCCCGAGGGGGTCGAATTGATCCGTTAGTTTACAGTCTTTTAAGCCACAATCTTTAGCGTCTCGTGACATTTTAGACTACCGCAACGCATTAGAGAGTGGGGGAATGCGCTGAGTCGACCTCACTCCTACCCTCCACACTCCCGTCCACCAGTCTGTTGTCTGAACCAGTCAACCGTCTGAGGTCCGGATTGATAGCCCAAAGTTCAGGCCAGGGGCACGGCCATAATTAGCTTACGTCAACCCCACAGACGATGTCTCAGAAGCGGACCACGAGGAGCCGATAATCAAGAAAGATGCTGACACTATACCAGGCGCCTGATGATTCCACCTCAACCGATTTAGGCTGAGATCAAGAGTAAAGCGGAGCGGTGGTTATGCAAACGAGCATCGACATACTGCAACGCCGATCCTGTTCACTCCTCCGAGTCGACGCATGAGAGCACTATTACGGCCAATGCCTTTGACGCTCTCCTTCGAAAGATTTGCTCTCGACGTTATTGGGATCTCTAATCATCATCTTTAGATTTATTTATTCTACTGAGCCAGCATAGCGAGGCATGCGCACAGGAATAGGAGAGAGGTACTACTTTGGTCTTTCGGTGAATCCCATCCACCACATCAGGCACTGTGGCCTCCAGCTGCCTGATGATTCCGCCTCAACTGAGTTTTGCTGAGATCAGGAGTAAAGTGGGGCAACGGTTATGCAAGCATGAACATTCGTAACGCCGATCCTGCTCACGCCTCCGAGTCACGGCATAACAGCGCTCCTACGGACAATGCCTATGAGGCTCTCCCCCCAAAGGGTTGTTTTTGACATTACTGAGGGATCTCTAATCATCATCTCTAGATACACTGGTTTTACTCAGACAGGATAACAAGGCCTGGGCACAGGAATGGGAGAGAGGTACCGCTTTGACCTTCCGGTGAATCCCATTCAGGTTGTGTTCATGTATTTCGCTACCCAACTGCTGGCTACATATGATGATTTCTTTCCGGGAAACTCATTTCCTTAACAATTATTTTATGCTCGACATCATTCGCCTTAAACTTCACTTCCGTTGCTTCTTCCTGAGCATCAGAAGTTAGGCCGCGGAACTGCACTGATTGCAAAATCCGAAACCGGCTTATCTGAATGGGACCGACCCGCTGACTGTTTCTACCCACGGAGACATCAAATTCCCCGCATACGGAGTCCTCCAGGCATCCACGACCCATATTTAGAAAGACTCCACACCATCTGACCCCGCCTGGGGTAGACGCGGCGTACGACCACGCAGGCAAGTTTTAATGATCTGTTAGAAGTCGCTACTTATCAGGTCGCAGCCTACTGGGTGCACAATTGTGGTCTGCACCAAGTTGCCGATCAGTTGTCAATAATTCAAGGGAAGGTAAATTTACCAGGCGGTACGAAGCGGGAGTGGGACCCGATTGTAGGCACCCAAGGAGTGGGATCGGCTAGCGGGAAAAGCACACTTGCAATGCACTGACAACCCACGTATCAGGCAAAAGGCGTCAAATAATGACAGCTGCGCGCATAGGACTCTGAAGTCCCTGAAAATGAATATCCGGTAAACGTCTCTTCTTCCTCTTTTGAGATTCAGCTCCGTTAGAGCGGTCGCGTCACAAAGATATCTGACAGGGGTCTATTGCCGGAGGTCGCACCACACAGGGGAAAAGAACATTGAGAGACCACTGTAGCGGCCACTAGGCAGCACATCCAAATCATAGGTATTTTTGGCAGATTTTGAATAATTCATATTGACCCAACTGTGAAAAACTCGGCCCCTCAGTGGGATTCGAACCCACGCAGTAAGGGGAAGGCTCTAGTACAGCCAACGCTCTAACCACTTGAGCTACGAGGCCCCGCCAGACGACGCGAGTTTAATCACATTTGGGTCAAGTTACCCGCCCAACCCATTGCAATGTCTCGAATCCACCAAATCTGATACAGTAGGTTGACTGCCCAAGCAGGATTTTCTAATTCACCTAGAATCCACCAGATGACTACCAGGCTTACGTAATTAATAGATGTTTTGGCAGATTTTGAATAATCCATACTCACCCAACTGCGAAAAACAAATCAATTAGCCGGCCTGGGCAACTGGCGTAGGCTCCACAGACATGGTCAGCAGTCGTAAAACATGAGCTTTCGGAGATACCCAACGCATGTACAGGACTCGCATCGGTTTTGCGAGACACATTAGCACGCACTGCAACAGCCAGATGAGGGAGGGGAGAGCGGAATTCCACCAAAGTCAGACAAAGCCTTCTCTCACTTTCCCGCAATGGTAAGACACGGAAATAAGAACACCCTCCCCCGGACCAAGTAATATACAGTGCGTGACCGATCTCATGAAATGTTAGCCGAAATTCTGAAATGCGTTTCGATTAGGAAGGTTTACTTAGGGGCGGTTGTAATATTAATTATCTTGCCCCATAGTCCTATAATATTTCAGACTCGGCAGGAAGTCAGCTTTTGAATACACTGCTTCTCAAACTCCTATAGAAACCGTACCCGGCAAAAAAGGACTACTTGAGTAGCATGCATTTGTCCCATTGATTTTCGATGGTCTTGCAAATCCAGATATATTCTATAGAAACTACGAATAAAGATATGCTTTCTTTCGGTAAAAAATAACATTATCTTTATATTTCACACTAGAAGAAAGAGTATAAATAGGCTTTAAAAAGTTTCTAACTATTTTAAGACCGCGCAAAGTCCATGCATATAACATCGCACCTGTCCGTTTACCAATGTTCGTTATGAAGTTTACAACATAGTCCAAATCCATGGCAAAGTTTTATGGACTCTATACGATATCTCTTTAAAGGCATAAAAGAAAATGTGATTTTCTTTGCGCGGAACGCATGCACCTTGTAGACTGAAATCACTAAGCGCTAATGCAACGACTGATTAAGCTCCAAGTTATTCGGCAATAATAAAACTTTTTTAAAACCTAATTATGCTCCTTCTTCGAGTATAAAATATAATGTGACTACCTATCAAACGACTGAAAGAAAGCATATTTTTGTTCGTGGTTTCTATAGCATTAACCTGAATTTGCAAGACTATGGAAAATCAATGGGACAAATGCATGCTACTCAAGTAGTCATTTTTAGCGAGCACGGTTTCTACAGGATTTTGAGAAGCAGTGTATTCAAAAGCGGACATTCTGCCGAGTCCGAAACATTATAGCATTATGGCGCCAGATAATTAGTATTACAACCGCCCCTAAGTAACCCTTCCTAATCGGAAACGCATTTCAGAATTTCAGCTAACATTCCATGAGATCAGTCACCTACTGTATGTGGCCTTAAACAAAATTCCAGGAGGGCAATTATCCCCGCGCTCTGATCCTAAACCCAATCATTACCTGCCTGGAAATTGGCACAAAACCCCCGGGATAGGGGAGGGGCTCCCATTCCCGCACCTGGACCCGCTTCACTGAGTGGACTTCGCTGTGTGCACTGTTGAAGGAGCCGTCCTAACTGACTCGTTCGCATGGCACCCTAACGATGCGCTCGAACGCCATCCTATCGATCCGTCCACACGGCGTGAGCATGCTGATATCGATCCAGTCACTGACAGGATTGGAGGTTGGGCCAGCCATTCACAAGCCAGAAGTCCAGTCGACATGCTAACGGTTCAAGGGCATGGCCTGATTGGCCCAATTCCAGGCGGGTTTTGAATGTTTCTGTATGTACCTTTAATCGCCAGATTTTCGCCGTCAGGACTCAGTAGTAGGCTGTGGAGTTCCCATTTGGGAATTCTATCTCGGAGAGTTGTTGAACGGGCTACCAGCCAGGCCTTACGGCAGGAACGTAAAAGTGCACACCCCACTCTCACAGAAGCATCGCGTCATCACCCCTCAGAACACCGCAATCGCAGCCCACAAAACCCGACCAGAGGGGGGAATCCTCACCTACTCCGGAGCAGATGGAGTGCTCTATACAGCCACCGCGAAATCTGGATCTGACTACTAACTGTGTAGCTTTCTTGACTACCATAAATCCCAATTCTGAACGATCCACCTGCCCGACGTAAATAGACTGTGAGCAACCGAATTGAGTGCCTACTGTCTGAAAACGGTGATACGGGTCGGCCCGACATCATAGTCAACGAAAGCCTATCGAACACCTTTGAACGCCAACTCCTCAGCTACCACCCAAACGATGATCTCAAAATGGCTATCCTCAGCCGGGAACAGTGCGGTGTTTTTTTGACGCTGTCTGCGCTTATTTCGAGATAATCACTACAAACAAGGCTGACTTGGTGCAGTGATTCATCCTTCTACTGACAGGTGGGAGAAAGGAGATTGTCCGAGGTCGTGAACCTCCTGTGAAACTCTCTCGACAGTTGGGTTTCCGACGGTAGGAGCACTCACCCTGCCTCGGTTGAGAGGTGTTTACTGTGAACCCAGTTGATGCACCCGTAAGGGAATCCTCAAGCCCAGGGTCACAGTCGACGAATATGACTTCTCTGATCCTCGAGCTGAAGACTCCGCTCTCTCTCTCTCTTCGCCCGCCGTCCTCTTTAAACCGCAAGAGATAAAAACGAAAGGACGGAAGAGTGATAATCTTTCATATTAAAAAAAAGGCTAAACAATCACAGCCCCTTCCCAGGGGGTCTAAGCGGAAGGAGAGAAAGCAAAAAGACGCGCAGGGAAGCAGAAGGTTTGAGCAAAGAGGACCATCCTGGGAATCATCGTCTGCAAGTGGCGAAGTTGTCCTTGAACCATTCACAAGTCTCCTTGACAGCTGCGAAAGGCAAAACAAGACATATTATAGGTTCAGCAGAATGACTTCCGCGCTACGATGAATGAAATGCGACTTTTCAAATGTACAGCACCTTTTTCGGTACAAAAAATGTATGTGGAACGGGCGTTTCACAAAATTCTAGACGCCGGAAGGCAAATCATGTTGCTAGGAGATTGAAGTGAGCAAAGCTGAAAAAAAACCGGGCGGTTATTGTCAGGACAGAGAAGCTAATGGCCAACCAGCAAAGTGCTTCCTCTTTGCGGTTCTCGTCGGTTAGCTCAAAGCCTGCTCAATTCTTCAGTTCCTCCTGACTAGGGTAAAAACTGCTTTTAACCCAGTGAAGGAGGGTAAACGCCCGTTCTATTGTTGCATTACTTTGACAAAATGTCCAGTTGAGCCGGGTAACTGGAAAGAGGTCGCTAGGATCAACCTGATTTAGACTCGCTGCCTGAGAGTATGCAATCGTCGCCCGACCGAATGTCTCCCAACTAGCCCACTACGCCGTAGTTCCTTCCATTCATTGATCCCCCGGTGGATGTAGGAGGCCTGGCTTCCGTAAAAGTAGTTTCCAGAAACCCGATGATACGGCCTTACAAATTTTTAGACAAGTCGCCTGGTTTTTCTTCTCCTCGAGTTGGACTTAGGGCGCGTGGATGATCATTGCTGATTTTCCATTTGGAAGCCTGGACCTCAGATGAGAACTCAGCCAATCGATGGGTTAGATCGCAGTTGGTAGCCAGGAATGGGGAAGCGGACGGCGACCTTAACCCTAGTCCTAACCTTAACCCTAACCCTAACCTCAACCTTCAACGGTAACCGTTAACCCTAAAGGCAACCCTAACCCTAACCGAAATCGTAAACGTAACCGTAGTGCCAAGGAATAGTCGTAACTGAGATACCTAACCGTAATACTGAAACCTATTCGTACGCTCAAACCCTAACCGTAACCCGAAAACCTAAGCCTAAAGGCATAACCCTAACCCGAAAATCGGAAACAATTAACGGGTACCCTAATCCTAACCTCAAACGTAAAACGGAAGCCAAATGAGTCAGATGTGATTATGGAGCCCCACAAAATAGCCCCAGTAAACAAACCCCCCAGCCACCTGTAATGCGGGGCCTGGCTACCAACTGCGATCTAGCCAATCGAAGTATCGATCTGGCGCCAGCATAGGTAGCCCTGCATTGTCAATTCATGACCTTCGTAACTGAACGCTGATTGGCTAAAACCCCCTATAACTGTCGCTTGTTCTATTGCTGCTGCCATCTCTGACGATGGACTCTTGTACAAGTCCGAAAGCTCAGGCAAATAAAAAAATGGTTCAGGTGCTCGACCAGTCTTTTCCTTTCTTCTCAATTCCTCCTTCCTAAAGCGCAGACGTAGTTTCCATCTGCTACCGTGTAAAAATAACAACAGGGCTCTCCCGATGCAGCTGCCCGCAGCTGATTGAGCAAGACGGTGTAAGTTAACGAATGAGAAACTAATGACCAGCCAATAAAGTGCTTTCTCTTCACGGCTCTCATTGGTTGGCTCAAGGTCAGTTCAATCTTCCCTTGTCTTCGAAAGTTACTTGTTCCTATGCGAGGCCTACGCTTGAGGCCAAGGTCAAATTGGAAGAATGTGTCCCACCGTCGCAATCGCATCGGCGAGACATCGCTTGCGTTCGACCTTGGATACTGCCGACCATATCTAAGACGGCGTGCGCCGGTGGCCTAGGTGGTAGAGCGCCTGACCTCAATGCTGGATGATCGACTGATTCGGGGTGCAAACATTAAGTGCTCCCCGGTCCTGAATGGCTGATAATGTCGGAAACGATCATAAGCCTCTATCACAGCACGAGCTACTGCGTCAAACTGGTGATGACAGGTGACATCGCGAGCGAATGTGTGTGTGTGTTCGAAGTCGCCGCCAGCGAAGTAGTACCTCATAGTTAAGTATAACCCCGCGTCGCCGTGCACACCAGCTGCAGAAGCCCTCTGAACCAAAAAAAAAATGTTTCTCGTCCTCTGAGAACGCCAACAGAAATTGCCTCGACGACCGTTTCGCAGTTGTGTGCGTGTCCCGAAATCGGGCTACCCGATTAGACCGACACGGGGGCTATATCAGAGTCAGGCAAGCGTTACCAGGAATGCGTGCCCATAACAAATGCCAACATTGGAGGTAGAGCGGCACGCCCAGTTGCCGGCTCACGTCGCACCAATTGGGGTCCCTGGCGCACCCATTCTTGCTGTTGGTTAAAATTCTGGTCAAGTGTATGTTGTTGACAGGGGGTGTGTGTGGTGGTACGCCTAGGTGCGGGTTCACGCCATGCCAGTCAGCTGCGCTTTCTCCGCCTCTGGTCTTGACCCTGGATCTGGGTTGGAGGGGGAGGGGGAGAAGGTGCGGTAGGTGCTTCGCAAGTCTGCCGTCCTCCTCTCACCGCACAAGGACAGTTACCGTCCGAGCTAGCAGTTTATTGAGCGAGACCTCCCCAAGTGGTCCGCCGCCCTACCAAAAATTTCACCAACCGCAAAATATGAGCGTCCCACAGTCTTTAACTTATTTAAACACGGAAACGGGTCCGTTGTGACCAGCAAATTTTTCACTTTGTCTGTCATCCGCCACAAGTCGTTCAGTCAGACGGCCTTCCTCGCCATATTTCAGCTGCGGGCCAACGAAGGCCACATTTATTGCTCCGTTTCACTCATTGTTTATAAATATGAAGAGAAGAATCGGCACCAAAGTCCTCATCTGCCCTAGCAAGGGCTGAAGAAAATGGGAAATGAGTCGTTTAACAACGCTAACTATCCTAATCGGCGGTTGAATTCCTGGCTCCCACTGTCATTCGGTCTAACACGAATTATCACCACTGATGGATAGTCCGTCATGTCGGCAAAAGATCCCCAGTCATCGCAATAAGCCTGGCATCGACATTAGATCTTTCCAAAATTCTGTTCACAATGATATAAAAAAGCGTAGAAACTACTGAATAACCTCGTACTGGCAGGGTAATGCCAAATTTTCAGCAAGGTTTCGAGAAACTCATTCCAAAAAATCTTTTAAGGAAGGAAATAAAGGCCAATGCAAAGGTAAAACTGTGGGGGATGACGTAGCCGTACCTTTGTCGAACGGTGTAAACTGGAAACCCGGATTCAGGGCCATCAGCTTTGCTGGGGTTGCAGTCTTCTTGAACTGGCCGTCCGCTTTCGAGGAATCAAACTGTGGAGACGCGTATCAGCACCAGTCATGGAAAGAAACCGGGTAGATAGGAAGAACTGACATAAAATGAGACAGACTTCAACACAAGGTGGTGGCAGGCAATAGGAAGACCGTTAGTTTGAACCGCTGAGCATTTGAATAAGCAGAGGACCAGAGATGTCATGCGCCAACTGGGCGACCGGCAAAACACTGGATCGTTGAGGTCTGACCACTACTGTTAAAACAGCTAGGTGACATTTAGATATTTGTGAAACATCAATGCGGCCGACTCTTGCTCTCTGTGATGTCAGACAGCGGAATTCCTCGCCTGCAACTAGACAGCTATTGGCGCAAAGCCTTGTATGCTGCAGGCAGGTCGATGTGGACGGCTGGTCAGGCGTCGGTCCTTGCAGTTGTCCGGCCGCGTGGTTGTCCCCCTGACCTACCAACCCGGTCTCGTCCAAGCTGAAATCGTGACCCGTGTGGGACACACAAGTCGCCCCACCTGCTAGTTGGGATTCATCCTTCGCACCGCCAGCTGGCGTTCTCGCATCCGCGTCCACATCTGCCTGTTAGTTCCTCTGCTGGGATGGATAGCCTATATTGATAAGTGAAACCTATGACAACCAGTATACCCCCTGGCGCTGCTAACCAACGGAACGCGGGCTCGAACCTCAGGATGGCGGCTTACGAGGCAGAAATGGCTGGACGCGTGCCTACGGGATCGAGTTCCCGGCACAACGAGGCGTGTAAAGTCCCGTGGCGCGACCACCAGTGGGCGTCCTCTACCACCTTCCCTTATCAGTTTGCTTACTGTGCAGATCAGGAATACCGCACTATGACTGGCTGACGAGCGACTTCCGTAATAACGATCGGTGAGCGCTGCCTACCATTGTATATTGCCGATTGAAACCGATAGGGCAACGGGCCGTGGCCCAGTAGTTAGAGGCGTGGACTTCTAACTAACAGGTCGCGAGTTCGAGCCTCGGGTGTTCCACACTTCGGTGTTGGATACGACTGACTGACGACAGCTAATAAGTCAGAAATGGCCATTCCAGTCTCCCTTGTCTTTGTCGGCAATACCACACCGCACTATTTCCGTGAGCTCGCATCTACTCAGTGAGGTTCTTTGAAGACAGTTGCGATCACGTGCTGACAAAATTGTCTATCGAGTTTACATTCGAGTCAACAGTCTGGAGACAGTTGGGGTGGGAAAATACGACTAATTCGGGACAAGCAACCTATCCCGAGAAAAGATGGAAGAGTTGCACACGAAAGCTCTCCTAGATGGAAGCAAAGAACCAAATTAGTAGATTCCAGCGGTCATATTTCGGAATCTGTGAAAAGGCCTGGTTTAGATGTTCCTTCGCGAAATGGCTCCATTCGCTGCCATGAAATGGTGGCCCGCAAAGAAAAGTCCCTCCTCTTACATTAGAATGTCTAGTTTTATTAGAGCACCCCGTATATATGCTCGATCAATCGGTTTGCGATACAGTTCCCACGAAGATAATTCCGGACCTTTGTTTACTAGTCCTTATGGTCAGACAACAGGTCGCAGTTGCGTTTCTTACTAAGCGGTACAACAAAGTTTAAAGATCACCTCAATCAAATTTTCTTTTGAAGAACGCTTCATCTGATTGTGCTTTTTTGATAGCCCACAGTAGCTGTGCCAACTCATTGAATGTTGACCGAGATTGTAAAATGCATTTTCGGCCCGAAAAGATTAATTAGGTAGGGTTTTAATTCTAACCATCATGCAACATAAGCGCATGGTAATTCAGTTACTTCAGGATGCCGGCTTTTAAACGAACTTCATTCCGGCCGCCTGCAAAAACTGCGCACTGTAAAAAATGACTGCTTAAATAGTATGAATTTTTCTCTCTGATTTCCGGCGCCTTTATAAATTCAAATATTTTTCACGGAAAATATGCACTCATTTTGTAGAAAATTACGCCCTTTTTAAATTTTATGCTAGAAGGAAGGGTATAACTCGGTTCTAAAAAACTTTTCTAATTCCTGAGTAATTTTGAAAACAACCTGCGTTACACTTGCATTCAGGGTTTTCAAACTACAAACTGTATGTTTTCCGTGTACGTAAACTCATGCATTTCTCTATGGCATTAAGAGGAAACCATATGGGGTTCGTAAGATTAAGCAGTTTCTTTGAGTCATATCGTAAACTTTATACGCAACACTAGTAAATTCAAACACGATGTCTCTCGGACACTTCATGGTCTTAAAAAATCACATAATTAAAAACTTTTCAAAAGCGAATTATAGCCTTCCTTCCAGTACAACATTTACAGACGTAATTTACTGCAAAATGAGCAGAAAATGAATATTTTTATGCATATTTTCTGTGAAAAATACTTGATTTTATAAGGGTACTGGAAATCAATGAGAAAAATATGCATACTATTTAAGTAGTCTTATTTTACAGTGCGTAGTTTTTGCAGGCGGCCGTAAAGAAGTTTGTTTAAAAGCCGGCAACCCGGGAGTAACTGAATTACCATGGGATTGTGCTGCATAATGGTTAATATTAAAACCCTACTTAATTAATCTTTTTCGAGCCGAAAACGCATTCCGCAATTTCGGTTAACATTTCATGAGTTAGCACATCTACTGTAGTTCATTCGTCAAATGCAACATGAGCCACAACCGTCTCAAAATAATAAGGGTCAGAAGCTCCATAAGGTTCCAACCCACAAAGCGTCCTGTACAAGCACATTAGGGTTGTCACCACGCATAGGCAACGCTTCATCTTAGAACCATTTCTTGCTCGAGATGTGGGGATGGACGTGGCAGCTCTCTCCACCGACTTTGACGATACACCATACGATCCAGAGTTTCGATCCGAGACTTAGAAAATACCGTTGGTGACCCTGGTATCCTCAAATTTTGACAGAACGTGACACTGCGGATGAGGTTGCCTGAGAGGAGGAAACAAGCCTCAAAACAAAATCAGGTCGAAAAAAACCGCCCAAGCGAAAAAAGGATACAGTGAGGCCCTTGCAGCCCATTGCGCTGGCAATAACCTCAGCGGCGTGCTTAATAGAAACTTCGTCGGCCTCTGGAACCGAGAGGATAATGGGGTCTGGATCATTGTAGTGTCTGAGGACCCAGATGAAGAGACGGCCCAGGTCGACTGAGTAGATGAACTGACGAAGGGGTGTGCCAGAGCCCAGGACAACAAGTGGCTGATCAGACTCTGCAGGGGGGGGGGGCGCATAAAGGCGCATTAGGTAACAGCAGGTAGGGGAGAACATGCGCTACTTTCGCCTACTGTCCAAAGTACTCACTTTTAGCCAGATAAGCCTTGTGTATGAGGGCGGGCAGTACATGACCGACCTGCAGGTTGAAGTTATCGTGTGGACCGAAGACATTGGTGGGGATCACCGAGGTGAAGACTGTGCCATGCTTCTCACTGTAAGCACTGTGATAGAAAAAAAGAAGCGAATAAAATTAAGCCACCCCCCGTCAAACCCGTCTGTAGTGTATGTACAGAAGAGCACTGAACGAAGTCCTTAAAGGTGCCTCAGACCAGAGACAGAAAGTCTGCTTTCAGATGGATGGATGGACGGTAGTGCGTTTCACTTACTGACTAAAGAGCCTGGGTCCGAACTCCGGTTCTTTCTGGTGCGTTCCGAAAGAGTTGCAGAGGTCACGAGTAGGTAACCACTGGCCTGGTCCAACTCGGCCAAGCTATGACAGCAGGTGGGGTGATGACAGCGACGTAGATAGCCTGCTATATAACTGTTCCGGGTTTAAATTCAGCGAATATTCCTATGCTACACTTGAAAAGTCAAGCTGTCAAACGCATGTTTCGGGCAATTCCTCATCAGGCCCATACAGTCACACAAAAAATTGAAAACAGGAGACATTCATGGGGGTTTATAAGTGTCTCACGCTATCCGCATGACGAGGTTGGCGTGTTCTAGACACTGGGACATAGGTTGAGAGTGATACTTGTAAGTAGGATACATGGGGAACGTGTCACGGTCATCAGGAGTTAGGGCGGCGTTGGCCAGGGAAAACAGAGCGCCTGTGTCAACGTTTTCTGACATAGTACTGGATTCGCCAGCCATATAGCCACCGCCTCGGCTGTGGCTAGCAACCGTTCGCATAGGTCTTTAGAAAAGTTTGCTGGTGCTGGTGTTCGTCTCATATTTTTAATTTCAACGTAGCAGCATGGGTCTGGTGATGAATTACTGACAACACGTGTTTGGCAACTTGACTTTTCAGGCGTTTCGGGTTTCTTCTTCCCAGTTCAACGTACTCACTCCGTGGCACGCGGTGGGTTGCACGCGGACTAGTTTACAGTAAGGCAGACTTCCAGGGCATCTACCGTACTCTCTCCTACCCCCCCCCACTCACCTTGCTCCGATGGCAAGACAATGTCAAAACGACCGGAGGCAGGCGTGGTCGCAGTGGCTGACAGAGTTAAACAGCCCGTCTACGCGTGCCACACACGACCTGGTTTCCATTACATGTACCAGACGGCTCAGATCTCACATGCGGGACAGTGGCTGCCTGTCCATGACCTCTGTCACCCATGTGGAGTGCGCCTACTTCGGGTAGCACGTTACCGTACTAATAAATACCTGGTCTGCAACGAGGCACAGGCGAATCTCGCCTCGATGCAGTGCTTATGACCCATCTGTGGATCATCTGCGCCCTATGCGTGCACATGTTTCTGTCTGCTGTTTTTAAGCGACAGTTGGAATTATGGCTGGCTAAATGAACATAGAATAAGTTCAAAACGGCCCCGTGCTCGTCTACCCGCACCTATGCAGATAATCGCTCTGCTATACTTTCAGCTGTTTATATATAATAGACTACGCTAACAGGAGGCGATCAGACAGCCATGCCACAGTCACGAACCCTCATCAGTAATCCTCAAATGGGTTAAGCAACTTTCCCTCATAATGGATTAACCTCTCCTGGCCGACGTTTGAGACCACGACTAGACACCAACTGTATACTGGACACATTCAGAACTCCATTCCAACTCAAGAATATTTAAGTACAGTTCAGTCGAAAAAGAGGTGAGTGAGAGAAGGCTTTAAATTCGAAATAGTAAAAATTTACGCAGTGCGGATTCCCTTCCGGATGCAGTGGGCAAAGCTAGCCAACAATGCATACTTCACAAAAAAGCGAACCCGCGCTGGCATCTCTAGTACGCACATGAGATAATGTCTTAACGGTTCACTAAAAGACGGCTTTTATCCGCTCGCCGGCTGTTTTCGTCCGTGCGTCGTCCTGCCTAACCTCAATTAAACGCCCAGCTGGCAGTATGTTTGTTTACGACCAGTGAATTGGTTTTTTAGGCAATTTCAGCGACAGACAAACCAGGTATAACCGGTAATTTTACCACTGAAACGTTTCTAGTGACGCACTTTTAGCAGTAATTCGGACCGCAATGAGGCCTTCTTGCGAGTCAGGTACTAGAGGACGTCGATAATTTGCGGAGTCGGGAAAGCACTGATTACAGTTCAACAGCTGAGTACCCAGCCGGAAATCGGAAGATCGGCGGCTCCATTCTAAGGTCCCCTTTAATGTCCGAATTGGCGTCCCATTAATGTAGAGATAAACCACAGGCTACGCCAATCCACTTCGTCGACTTTCACCTGTTCACTAGTGGGCCACTCCCCACTCTGGTGCGCGGTGTCCAGCAACACTCGTAGTAGTACAAACAAAGATTTGCCCTATTGATGGTCACTCTCCACACTGCGAGAGTACAAACGCAGATTTGCACTATTGATGGGCCATTTTTAGGTGTGGAGGCTATAAGCAGGCTGTCCCAGCGCTCACGACATTACGAGACAGTGCACTCGAGGCGACGCCTGTTCAGTTGACGCTCACAACTCGAGCACCGAATACTCTCGGATCCGCCACATTCGCCATGTCCGTCTATTTGTTTACTTGCCCACGGTGGTAATGGTGAGCATTTGGACGAAGGAATGCACACTACCTCCGGGTCGACAGAGGGCGCAACCGAACGCGACTACGATGTCGACCTTTCGTAGCAGGTATCTCCGATTAGCAGTTAAGTTTAATTATCGGGATGTGGTCTAGCAAGGGTACTCTGGAGGCGACACTTCCGGAAAGAAGTGAGTTTTGGCAAGTCCGCAGTAAGACGGCGGGATGATATGCTCTAAACTAACTCTCATGCATTTAATCCAGCGATGAAACCAACGGTGTTTTTGAAGGTGACAAAACATGCTGTCTAAATTGTATGTGACGCTTGTCCTGCAGGTAGCGTGGAGGAGTCGGGGAACAGGGCTGCCGACCGGCCCGAACGTCTCGCCACCGCCGCCGCAGACGGGAAATGTCCTCAGATATGATGCCACTAGACAGTCGCCTGATTTCCGAAGCAAACGATCTTGAATCCAACTTCCGAGACTTGGTGACTACATGGCAAAGGTCGAACTGGATCTGCTGCAGAACGCTTTTCCACAGAGCAATGCGGACACGGGGACGCGCTGGGATGTTTCGCCCTATCTGCTGTTACCAAAATCGTGTTAATCCTGCCAGGAGAAGCGATGGCACCTTTCCCCGAATGTTCAATAATTTTAGGACCAGATTCAGCCCCTGGGGTCTTGAGGAGAACCGTTTTCTTGACCTGATTGCACGCCGCAGAGAAATGAGGAAAGCAGACGTTTCACTCTATTAGAAAAAAGTGTATCTCGTCTAGGACCCGGATGGTGATTAATTAGTTGAATTATGGTGAAAACAACTTTGTCCTTCCTTGTTCACCGACCCCTGAGGGCGGTTAAGGGACAGTCAAACAAATATCAGGGTCATTATGATTGATCTTGCTGGTGAAAGGGGGAAAGGGAAAGTATCAGCCTGGCTATGGGGGACCCCAGATGTTGATCCGCTGAACGCATAGGGGTTGATGAGGCATCAGAAACGAACATGGTGTATCACCAGAACGCCTCACACTATGAAAAAAATCTACTAAGCAGTGTTTGCACATATTTTACCCATGTCTTTATGAAAAAAACCATGAGATGGAAAGAAGGACTTACTGGTTCATAACGTCAATCATTCTTTTTGCGTAGGCGTAACCATAGTTGGAGGAATGCGGGGGACCATTGTGTACCATCGTCTCGTCAATGGGGTACGTGGTCTTGTCGGGAAAAATGCAGGTCGAGAGACATGAGATGACCTTTTTGACGCCAGTCTTGGCACTCGCTTCCAGCACATTATCATTTATTTGCATATTAGTCCTCTGAAGTGGGTAAAATAAAAATTTAAAGGTCAGAAAAAAGTTCCATTGTCGCTAAAAAAAAGCAACTGGGCAGACTCAGAACGCACAGAAAACAGGCAACCACCGAGACAAGACTTACAAAGAAGCCCAGATTGTCACTCATATTCGCAAACAGACCGCCAACCTTCGCCGCCAAGTGCACTACATGCGTCGGACGCGTCTTCTGGAAGTATGCTAGCGTTTTGTCCCAATTGCAGAGGTCAACGTCCTTGGAAGAGGCGAAAATCCAGGTCTCATTGGATTGCTTTAATCCATGCGACTCGAGAGCGAGACGGATTCCATGGCCAACGAGACCGGACCCACCGGTCACCAAGACGACTTTTGGATCGGTGTCTGCCATCCTCAGAACAGGAGTGCCAAACTACGCGAAGTGAGACAGTAGACAAGTCAGCTGGACATAAATCGAAATTAAACAGTAATTTCGCCTAGGGCGCTAAATAACTAAGTTTATTTCACACGCTTGGCTTGGTACCCGAATCACATCAAATTGTCAGGGACACGTTGCCTGTATTGTCATCGGTCACTCTGGAAACAGGTTTTAAAACTTAGATAATGCAGAAACAGGGGAGAGAAGTGTCCCAGCGGAGAATGCACAGAATTCGCGATACAAATCAAAGCGGCAATCTGGCTTCGAGAATAGAATCCCTCCGGAGATCCTTTGAAAGACAAACGACAAGGCACGTAATCGTTGTGCAGTTGGTGAGTAGCAGACTGGGGCATCACGTTCTCGACTGAAAATTATGGTAAGTTCACTGTCCGAGACTCCAAGAAATGCATAAACTGTTTTGGCAAGTAAGCTACGGTGGTCAAGTTCTCTCCAAAGGGTTCAAGTAAAGCCTCTGACCTACTTAAATGGACCACTTCGGCGCTGTCCGACAAAAATGTCCTAAGGCGCTAATCAGCTGCTGCCGCCGACACTGGCAACAGTGAACTCCAGTCAGCATGCTCTTATTTGACGATGATTTGCCAGTGACTGACAGGGTTTGCACGACCGCTCACCCCAATATGACATTTGCACTGACCGCCATCATTGGAAGTTCTCCCTCCCATCTATGAGTCAAGCTCACTTTGACTTTTACAAAGTGGAATGTTTAAGCAACTTCTACTTGTGGAAGGACAGAATACTGGCGGCTTCTGTTCCGGCCCACATCTTGTTTCTCAGGGCTTCCCTGTATATAGCACCATGAGCTTCACAGATAGTCCCACAAAGCGGCTCAGGGGTAGTTTTCTATCGTTAACCTCTGAAAACTACCCGGAAGGAATACCGGAAAAGGCAAAGACACCTAAGTCTCTATAACAGACGCAAGTCCAAACGAAACTGCAGGACGGCAGACGCTAGGTAGGCAGAAATGTGCAGTTGGGTGCTCTGCCAACGGACAGGTTTGTGTGGGCATTTATTGCAGTATCTCAGATGGGGATACTAGCGTCAAAGCCCATGAGAATTCGGGTGATTTGCGTAGAATCAACCCGTAGGTCAGACGACCCCCTGCAGGGAGTGACTCAAAGTCACTTAAACATCTACCTCGTTGGGGAAATCCAACCGGTAGGTAGAGACGTATGGAGCGAAGTCTACTGCTACAGCCTGGACTTCCACTGAATGCAATACCGATGACCGACTTCGACCGCAACCCGCAAGCTGAGCAGCTTCTTCACGACGCCCATTGAACTAAATGTATAAGATACCGGTGAATTTCCGAGATGTCCTAAATAACAAAGCAGGAATTGAGAGGTTCCTACTCTGTGCTGGTTGACAATTAACTGTAGGACGCCCTCATCTCTTCTGTGACTTTTCCCCTATATTATACTCTTACCACTGTGCAACGTCCCCACATTCTTCATTTGGTTAGCAAAAGCCCTGACTGGAGCTTCACAGATTATGGAGAACGCGAAGGTGAACGGGTTGGCTGATGTCCTCGCAGTGGATTCTGGTTTCCTGGGCGCACTTTATCTCACTAACAAGTGACTTACAGCGAACGTGAAAATCAGATGGCTTTTCGCTGCCGCAATATATACCTACCGGAAAGACGTTACTAATGAACGAAAAAATAGGCCACATTTGGGTCTGCGACTTCTTACAAATCGGGAGACAATCAATACTCATCTGCATTTCTACGTCATCTGTCACAAGCAGAGCATTCTTACACATATCTAAGAATCTGCGAGGCTGTTTTTCCAGTTCGATGTGCACGCATTCCCAACTACCCCTAGAGGCTACCTGCAGATTGTACGAGGTCACCAACAGCGTTCTTGGATCTGCTGGCAGTTTGGGGACGAGCGGATTCAAGATATTTAGGTCTCGAACGGGAGCATGTGCTATATTGCATTCCAACGCTCAGTTGCGAAATTTCCTGGCGGATTCGTGACCACTGCCAGTAGTGATACTCTTTCTGTTTTTTTACGTCCCAAAGGCATCCTGTATATGAGTACATTCTACAGCACTTACCGGGGACGATGTATTTCTTCCATTTCCCCCGAACTTGGAGAGAACATTACTTCTAGTTAATGCATTTAGCAAGGACTTTTTCCGCTTGCGTCTTTCCCGAACAGCCTCCACGATTTCTCGGAACGCCTCATCCCCATACTTCTTAATTCGGCGTCTTCTTGTCCTCTCTGACTCCTGTCTGAACATTGCTAGAAATGGCGTCGCAGTAATAAAGATATAAATGAATAGTAGCAAAGGAGATCGAGTAGACGTCGAGTCAACCGTTCCACGCCGCTCACGCACGATAATGTTGGTGCGCGCGCGCGGTGCCGCAGTGGGATCAAAAAACGACAACCAATCAACGATCATACCGCATAAGTGATAACCAATGACGCGTCAGAGCTAATATCTCGAGAAATCGCTATTTACAGTATATATATTCGATATTGATTGCTAAAGGGGTGCAAGCCCGAGGACTATAGTCCTCGTTATAACGTCGCTGTGCCACAGCTGCAGCAAGGTACTCAGTTTTTAAGATAAAAAGTCTAGCATAATTTTCTATCGGGTTACTCTCCTCCCAGGTATTGACTGAAACTTTGCACAGCACCCACAGGGTAGAATCATTGCGATAGCCGTCTCGTGACCGACTGTTAAATTCCTGTCACTGACTTCGTCAGAGAAGTAGCCAGTCACCAATATAGGTTTACAACAGCCCATGAATTCACGGTGCGGAATAATATTTACTCAAACGGTTGACGAAGACAGCCCGGCATAGAAGATTCTACAGAAACGCTACCATTTAATATAAAGTCATGATACATCCACGTTATTTGTTTGCGAGGGTTGAGCTTGAGGCGTCCACCGAAGACGGTGGGGAAAGCTGGTTAGACCATACAACAATCAGGGGAGGGGCAGCACACACACACCTTCCTTCGTCAATTGAAAAACTGCCGCACGTTGTCCATTCAAACAAACATTCCGGTGGCATCCAAACTAGTATTTAAAGTCCTCCTGTCGTGGTGAGAAAGACTAAATCATCTATCAGATGGAAAAATAACTCCTTCGGAATAGTGGATTTCTTAATGGCCACAGATACTTATATCCGCGACGCGGCGGACAACTTTATCCCTAGTACCAAACTATATCGAGTAGATATCTACTAGATATCTATTTATCGAGATTCATATATCGACTGGATATCTATTTTGTCGCAAAAATAGATATCTATTAGATATCAAGTAATCGACATACTACGCTATCGGCGAAAAGTGGAGGGTAATATGCTACGCGTGGAATCGTTTGCTTAATCCAATGCCCTTTTCTAACCCCCATTCATTCCTTCTCGTATGTTTATCCCCCCCCGCTTACCCAGAGGTACATTGGAGACGGTTTTAGTGGAATATGTTTATTTAAAACATTTAAATTAATACGTAAAAAGGTTTGCTGAACCTCTTCTGTGTTCACACTGTTCACGCAGGCGGGGAATCAGTCGAGATCCGGGTATATTGTCTACAAGTTAATATTTATTACTGCTAAACGGCAGTCAGTTTACCACTGCCATCTTGCGTCAGTTGTGACTTGTTCTTACGCTGGACACAACTGTCGAGCGACCTCTTCAGGCGCTTGGTAAGTGCTGACTCCAGGTCAGACAGCTTTACGGTGGCATCGGTATTCCACGCTCCGAAGACTTCTGCATGTTGAAGAGTTGTAAGTAACGGCAGACTCACCAAGTATAACCTTATACAGTTTTGAACCGCTGAGGCTCTCTTTCGTCTTTCGGCCTTTGAAATTAACATATAGGTTTATTTCATCGTCGAAGACGGCGAAGAAAATTCGCTTGACGAATTCATCAATATTATACCCTCCTAGGCATGTTAGGAAGGAAGTCTGACGCAACAGGGTGTGATTAATATGGTTGCATACCAGTTGGTGTCGAAATCACTTGTCCAGTAATCAGACATTCAAATTACGAGAATCGGCACCCGACCGTATTTGGTGGTCAAGCGGGTTCGTCGGCAGCTGAGAAGCTACCGGTCCCGAGGTTTTAGTCAGCTGTAGAATCATTGATTCCAACAGCCGCTGACGGTCGAGTAGTTTGCGGACTGTCTTTACCAGAATGTCCAGCTTCATCGACTGTGCCCGCATGTGTTTGCACATTAGCAGCAGGATATCTTCCTGACCATTCACTTTCGGCAGTGTTGTCGGGGTGTCGTCACCCAGAGGGATGGTGTCGAAAGAATCATCGGCGTCCTCCTGCGGTTCCTGAAAGGTATAACAGCGTCATTTTCCATAACCTACTGGCGATGATATGCCTTCACCTTCCAGCAGGTAGAGCGCCTCATCAATCGCGGACCTACTTTGTCGGGCCGGCAGTTGGCGTGTTGGAAGTTGGCTCATGTTAATAGGTGAATTAAGTGCTAGCATAATGGTCACTCGCAAACCACTAACTAGTGAGGTTATTCTAGCTATAATACCTGTGCGTTTGTATGGTGCGCGAGCACTGTTTGCATAGGCAAAAAGATAGTAAGTGGCTTCCCTAATTCTCTTTATAACTTCCATTAATACGTAGTGGTTATCTTCTAGAAAATACGTACTTAATGTAGTAATTCGGTAATGGTGAGCAGACCAACTTGTTATCTATGCTGGCTTTATAAACTTTCATAAGTGAGGAGTTCCTAGGATAGTCAAAGTAATCTGAAATATTGCCAAATTCATGAAATTCTAAACGTATACATCCACCTACATCGCATAGTATGTTTTTAACACATACTTATTCTATTGCCAATCTCTATGCACCTATTGCCTGAGGTAATGTCAATAAGATATATATCTGTGATTAGACATTTATATTGCTGACTGCCCTCATAGCCTGCAGGTATTGGTCCCGTATTATGCTCATGAAGGAATCTAGGTGTAGG